GGGCCACACCCTCCGTTTATACAAACTTGAGGCCCCTTTGTCCAAAGATGCTCTTGAACAAATTTGGTCAAAATCCTTATATTGGTTGAGAAGAGGATTGTTAAAGATTTACCTTTTTTCCTCCGATTTAGCCCCACCCCTCTGCCCCCAGGGGAGGGGGGGGGCATACCCTCCGTTTATACAAAACTGAGAACCCTTTGGCCAATGATGCTCCAGACCAAATTTGGTCAAAATCCCTTCATCGGTACAAAAGGAGAAGGATCTATACTAAATGTTTTCCTCTATTTGCCCTACTGGGCCCCACCCATCTGCCCCAAAGAAAGGGGCCCATACACCTCAGTTTATACAAAATTGATTCTTTTGTCCCTAACCATGCTTCAAACTGCATTTGCTTTAAATCACTTCACTTGTATAGTAGGAGAAACAAAAATCCTCTATTTCCCCTCTGCCCCCAGAGGGGCCACAACCTCCGTGTATACAAAACTAAGAACCCTTTGGCCAATGATGCTCCTGACCAAAATTGGTAAAAAATCCCTACATCGGTACAAAAGGAGAAGGATCTTTGATGTTTTCCTCTATTTCCCCTAATGGGCCCCACCAATCTGCCTCTAGAAGGGGGCCCCAACACCTCAGTTTATATAAAAATTAATTCTTTTGTCCCTAATCATGCTTCAGACTGCATTTTGTTTAAATCCCTTCAATTGTATAGTAAGAGAAAACAATTCCTCTATATCCCCTATTGGGCCCCGCCCCGCCCCTCCGCCTCCAGAGGGGCCACACCCTCCGTTTATACAAACTTGAGTCTCCATTGTCCAAAGATGCTCTAGGACAAATTTTTAAAGATTTACCTCTTTTCCCCCTATTTGGCCCCGCCCCTCTGCCCCAGGGGGACCATACCCTCCGTTAAACTGAGAACCCTTTGGCCAATGATGCTCCAGACCAAATTTGCTCAAAATCCTCTGAGCCGTTCAGGACCAGTAACGTTTTAAAGGGAAAAGTTGACGGACGACGGACGCTGCGCCAAGGGATAAGCTCACTTGGCCCTTCGGGCCAGGTGAGCTAAAATAGAATCGATCATTGCAATTTGAAAAAGATCAGTGGCAAAATATAACATGCACAACGAGGGATCAAAGGGAACCTACATATCAAATTTGAGAAACATCCCTCAAGTTATTCCTGAGAAATAGCCATAACAAACCTTACTGTCAAAATCCAAGATGGCTGCTTGTCGGCCATGTTGTTTATCCGATCAGTCTCAATTAAGTTAGATGCCCTGCACAACTATGGACCAGGGGGAACCTACACATAAAATTTGAGAAAAATCCCTCTGGTACTTCCCGAGAAATAGCGATAATTAACTTTCAATATCAAAATCCAAGATGGCTGTCTGTCGGCCGTGTTGTTTATTCGATCAGTCCCAAAAGTTACATGCACAGTTAAGGACCAAGGGGAACCTACATATAAAATGTGAGGAAGATCCCTTTGGTACTTCTTGAGAAATACCGATAACAAGAATTGTTTAAGGACGGACAACGGACGGACGGACGCAGGGTGATTTGAATCAGATGATGGTGGGCTAAAAATACAGTAACATTGGGGTTTTTTCATTACGGGAAATAAATGTTCCATGCGTTTATAAATTTGCATGTGTGTGATACTGATAGATAAAGAGCGAATTGTTTAAATCACTATTCGGATAAACTCAACAGTAAAACTCGCACCTACTCCAATTGAATCTTTCCTATGATGACCTCTAACTTGACCTTCGAAATATCTAGGAAAAGTAATAGGAGTGAGTACGTGCCTGGACTCCGTGACGTTTGATAACCCCTAATTTGATATTGAAAAATATCGGAAACTAACATGAATAGGAATACATACGAATTGGAATAAAAAATGCCAACTCACTTGTCGAGTTTGACTTCAGACATTTTTATTGAAAGTAAATATTCACAGGAGAATCGGAAACGTATAAAATCACTTTATATCAAAAGCATAGACAAGCAGTTAATAATAACACATTTCTAGTATCGACAAACTTACTCTCCTTCTGTTCTTCGCAAACAAATACAATAAAATGTCGCCTTTTAACGTGTATAAGGCGACGTTAAACCAACACGGGTTACAGGTCGACATCCTACAGCGACATTAGTCTGGCTTTCCAGCCTCGATATTCAGGGGTTACACTCACTTTCGTTCTCTACACCCCTCGAATATGTCATAGCAAAATTGAATGCACGAAGATGGCTATTTGATTGGTCTCGGGTAAAAAACAAGAGATCCCAGAGGGATCTTGGCGCCCACCTTTGTACCATCTTCATTAGTTCTTTGTCAGTTCGATCTTTTCTCTTCTTTCCTCTAATCTGTTTGATCGAGTCATGTTAACAGTAAATGCACCTTGAGGTAACTTTTGATCTAAACTTAATACTGATGTGTATGAAAGCCAACCTTCAAAGTGAGTTTGTCATTTCACATATTTACTAGTACAGTACTTAATGTGAAAGAAATAGAATCGATCATTGCAATATGAGAAAGATCTGTTTAGTTCTTCTTTTAATCCATTTTGTTTTTATGATCAGTCTCAAAATATAACATACACAACGAGGGATCAAGGGGAACCTACATTTAAAATTTGAGAAAGATCCCTCCCGTACTTCCTGAGAAATAGCGATAACAAACTTTCACTATCAAAATCCAAGATGGCTGCCTGTCGGCCATGTTGTTTATCCGATCAGTCTCAAAAGTTGCCCCGCACAGCTAAGGACCAAGGGGAACCTGCATATAAAATTTGAGAAAGATCCCTCTGGCACTTCTTGAGAAATACCGATAACAAGAATTGTTTACGGACGGACGACGGACCACGGACGCAGGGCGATTTGAATAGCCCACCATCAGATGACGGTGGGCTAAAAACTGACCAATCGCTAGGCTGATACCTGTCCTTTGAAGATTACAAAGGAGAGACGCCAGACTTCAAAGCCTGTCAATTTTTACCGTTACGTGACCGCGAGATTCTTTTGATGTACATCAAAGGTTCGAACTAGTCTTCTCGTCTCGTCCACAAGGTGCTGCACACTGAGCTTTCACTTTTGCTTTGACATATTTCAGGGGTGTAGAGAGCGAAAGTGAGCGATACACCTGGAAATCGAGAATGTGCTTTTCCAGCACAAGAACAAATTGTTGTTGATAACTCGCAAATCAGTTTTGGCCGTTCCAAGATATTAAACTAGAGTAAACCCTGTATACCTATATCATAGAGGCCGCTCCAAAATATCAAACTAGAGTAAACCCTGTATATCTATATCATAGAGGCCGCTCCAAGATATTAAACTAGATTAAACCCTGTATACCTATATCATAGAGGCCGCTCCAAGATATTAAACTAGATTAAACCCTGTATACCTATATCATAGAGGCCGCTCCAAAATATTAAACTAGAGTAAACCCTGTATACCTATACCATAGAGGCCGCTCCAAGATATTAAACTGGAGTAAACCCCTGTATACCTATACCATAGAGGCCGCTCCAAGATATTAAACTAGAGTAAACCCCTGTATACCTATATCATAGAGGGAAGCAATTTTTAACTACATGCTTTAAATTTTTCTGTCAAAGTTGCCATTAGGTCTTTCAATTGGAAGCATTCTCAAAATGATATACAATAATTAACATAAGTATGAACAAAAAACCTTACACGTAAACTACAATTTTGGTAAAGAGTCAATCAAGTTGAATATATCATCGCTATTGACTCGTTAAAAGTTACTTTTTTCGAATCCATTTAAAAGAAATACATATTGTGACGCGTTTGATGAAATTATGTACCTACATATATTTCCTACTAATCACACACTTTACAAACGCTGTTTTTATGGAATTGTAAATACATAGAATGGATATAAATTCATAACAGTATCATGTCAATACAAAAATAACTCGGCCAAGACTCAAACCTTTTATCATGCTTTATCTTCTTATTTTAGGTAGAATTTTCAAAGTTGCAAAATACGGTTCTAAATTGGATCATAATTGGTGCATTGGTACCCCTTACGTTAAATGGCCACACTCGGCTCTAATAAACTGCAATAACTGTTTTAATCACTGCAAGGGAGAACTCGACATAGCATATTTTAAATATTGCTGAAATGAATTTTATAAATAGTCTCCACACCTCCACGATAAATTTTGAAAGAATATAAAAACGATAAGCATTTTGTGTATTATTGATGTTAATGGGACTTTAGTGAATGGCGAGTACCCTATAACTACCGGACACCACACACGGAGAGATCCGTTGGACTAGCCAGGCACCTAAAAGGCCTTCGCTTCGCTAGAACGCCTTAATCAGACCTAAAAGACCTATCGCGGACTACATTTATTGGGATATTGGGAGGTTACATATATTTTCATGTATGTCCATCTGTTTTGACTCTGGAGATATGTTTTCGTTGAATGATGTATCTAGCTTTGTTTCCTTATAATACAGTTTGGGAATACGTAAGTATCAAAGTTTGTTTTCTGTAAAAAAAGTTATAAGGCTTATCAACAATAGACTCTTCTCGTTAATATTATTTGTCTAGGACGTTTTTGAATTAAGATTTATTTATGAATATTGTTTTTAATATACCAGGAACACAGTAAAGATCAGTTGTAACTTGAAGAGAAATCCTAAATGTGGTTTAAAAGGATGAAGGGACACTGCAACAGTTATAAACGGCAGGAAGAGTTTCACTCGGGGCCCAAACTCTCCACTGACGTACTACACATCCGTCTACAGTATTATCTTATTGTGTCGATGGGGTTTTAGGACTTAAATAATAACAAATTGAAACTTTTTTTGAAAAGGAAATGATTGTCACAGATACGTAGCGTTCAAATACATGACACCATGACATAAGTCAATTAGCTTTGGCTTAATATTGATCTAGTTTTAATGTACACTTTAAATGTTTTATATGTAGCCCAATATGTGACACTTATTAATGAATTGAAGCTCACACACACGTCAATATTTATCAAAGCTTCCGACATAATTACAAACATAGTTTCTAACGTGACCGACACAACACTCTGCGATCAGCTTTCAGTTTTTTCACTCATTAGGAATGTGATGAATCACTGCGTAATTTACGAAAGGACATTTTCAACACACACAACACAAAACAGTTTGTTGGATCACGAGGTCCTTCCAGAAATGATTGGTTCGTAAAGGATCCTTGTCACACCGCAGGTAACACTGGATATTCCTCTGTGGTCTCGTATACAGAGTAAGCTCCCCTTTATTTCGTTTTGAATATAATTGTATAGTGCGTTTGGGCAAAAGTACTTCCTTGCCACACTTTAAGAATTTGGTATCCAAGGTTCGAGTTCTGGTATGGCCGCGCTGAAAGTTTACACTTAGAACACCGAAGTTGATTATATTTTGCTTATTTTACCTATACAATGTACTTTTTTCAAAATATCCCGCTCATACATATAGTCATGCCGGAAAACAAATGCCGATGTAGTTACAATACAGTTTTTGACCGTGGTGTGGACATCCGTTATTATTTGCACAGCCAGATAATCAGGTATACTTTAGATTCTAGCTCAATCATGTATAACATGCACCGAATACAGGCACAACCTATGGACAAATATTGACAGGGGCGAGCGTCCAGTGCACCCGAAAGGTAACAACCTGTCGCTGCACAAGTACAATAATATATTTTTGTTGAAAACCCTAAAGGTGATCTCATATCTGCCCCCTTCCAAAGGTAATCCCAGATCTGCCCCCTGAAATGTTTGTAGAAGCTGTTGCTTGATCTCTTTTTTTATCACATCTGAACTGAAAATACAGAAATATGCCAAACGATAATAAAGAACACCCCAATCCCCACAATCTCTTCTAATCCACTCAATCTCTTGTACACCATTTGCATACTGATTACCAATAAAACATTTATACAATATCCTTGCGTCGCCAGCTCTCCCAGTTAAATTTGTACTGATATGTGGGTCGGTGGGTCCGTGACAGCAAAGCGGTGATCCTACAGTACCGCCCTATAGGGTCTTTCATTCCCTTTAGCAAGCTGTGGGTACCCCACTGAATGTTCTTAAATTTCTCTATGATATTGAAACTGAGAAGATTCTCTAGGGCCTCGAACTCACATCCTTCACAGTTCATGGTCAGTAGATCTACGTCAAACGTGCCTACCCCGAGACCCGTCATAAATGACTTCGCTTCTATGATGTGGATTGGGACATTTCCTCTCTTTCCAGAAAACTTGGAAGTAGCACATGCATTATTTCCTTCCATATTCACCATTATGGTTTCATTTCTGGCCCCTAGGCCCAAATTATAGATGTTGACGTTGGTTTTATTCTCAAATTTTTTCTCCAATATGTTAACGTATTCTTGGAGAGGTTCCAGAATAATATACCTCGGATTATAGAGTTTGGAGAAGTTGCCAGCATCCCATCCCCAGTTTCCCCCTATCTCCATCAATAAAGAGTTCTCGTTAAGGTATGTGTGGTGTGTCCGACGAATCTCTTGCGTTTTCCCACCGAAAAATTTTGGAGTTGACCTTGACCGGTCAACACTTGCAGTGCGCACGCAATCTCGAACCATTTCCTGTTCTTTAAACGTCAGTAATGTGTCCCTTTTATTAACCAAACTGGCGGCTAGCATCTGAATTCGTGGTTCTGGAGGTGCTTTACCCTGGCCCTTCAAAAACTGTGTGATAACTGGACTAAATGACGCTCCTTTGAGTGGACGAATCAACCTTTCATTGATTTGGGATTGGGATTCTACTTTGTCTTCAGTAGAAAGTTCCAATGTCTCCGGCGGTTCGTTCCTGTGCTCATTAAGTGACGTCGGAATGCTCCATTTATGTAAAATTAAAAACAGAACCAAACAAATAAGAACCCCGAAGACTAAATATCGGACGACCTTTTTGTTCATTCCAAACATGACGAAATCAGAGGCTGATTACCGGTCAGCGTATAGCCAAAGCGTTGATAAAGGACGGAACTAGGCGAGGCAAATCAGGTCAGTCATAACATGGCAAGCTGGGTAATATCACGTGATCAGTACGCCATCAATCGTCCGAGCAGAATCTGAAACATATGATAGATCAAAATAATTATTACCGCATCGTAACGTGTCCACAAGTCTGATGTAATTGTTGCTACTGTATGGTCAACACGGCCACATAAACAATATCTTGTAGTTTCATACATGTACCATACTCTCAGTATAAAGTCAGGGGATGAACACCATTAACTGATAAAACGTTCCTATTGCATCGGTATCAACCTCTTATAACTCGAACGAGGAAGATCTTCCTCATTCCACATTTCCAATGAGGGAGAAAGTGCTTGAAACGCGACTGAAACTGCTTTGCTCAATTTATCTTTCATTTTTTATATATTAACTAACTTCAAAAAGCATTTGATTCAAACACACCGTACCTGTTATGATCATTACACACACCTTGCAGTAATTAAGACAACTAACCACAGAATGCAGATTTAAGTTTGTGTGAGTTTGGATATGATTGGATATGAATGAGGGAGTTTCGAGGGAGATCGATAAATTTTGGGACAAAATGAGAGAGTCCTCATCCTAATATGGGAGGTTTAACAGCTATGCCATTGTCTTGTTTAAAATTCTTTACGATAGACTGAGGAAAAGAAGGTGAACCTTCCATAAGAATTAACATCTAAGCACGCCTGCTCGTCCACTGCCATCCTGGATATCCAGGGGTTAAGGTACTTTCGCTCTCTACACCCCTTATCCTCGATATCCAGGAGTTACGGTACTGTCGCTCTCTACACCCCTGGAATATGTCGTAGCAAAATCGAAGGCTCAATGTGCAGCACCTTATGGATGAGACAAGAAGACTAGTTTGGTCCTTTGATGTACATCAAAAGAATCTCGCGGTCGCGTAACGGTAAAAAAAATAAGTCGCTCCTTTGTAATCTTCAGAGGGAAAGTATTAGCCTAGTTAGGTGTTGTTGTTTTTTTACCCGACACCAATCAAATAGCTAGCCGCGTGCTTTCATTTTTGCTATGACATATAACATGGGTGTAGAGAGCGAAAGTGAGCGTAACACCTGCATATCGAGGATGATTAACTACAGGTATCGCTACAGGATTGTTTTACATATATTTGTTTTGTTATTAAATTAAGACAATCTTGTTAGGGATGACAAAATGCAATCATGTTTACTAACAATTTTTAAAAACATGAGTTTTGAATTTTGATGAAGTTATATTCTATTGCACAGGTCAAATCATTCAAGAGAAATTTGGCAAACGTCAAAGCCTATCAAAGTCCTCTTCTGAATTTCCTTGATGGGATCAACTCATCACCAGCCGGCCTTTTCCAAAACAGGAAGTATTGGTGAATTGTTACTAGGATATTGTGAAGGCATCAATATTAAGTAACAAGGAATTAATTACCACAGTTCTAAACATCGACCCATAGGTACTTATACATGTTATTCAACTTTCTGTATTAACTCATTGGTTTAGTTCAACGATGGCCTCCAATTACTTAACTTTCTGTATTAATCCTTTGGTCTGGTTCAATGTTGGCCTCCAATAATTTAACTTTCTGTATTAATCCATTTGTCAATGTCAATGTTGGCCTCCAATTATTTAAATTTCTGTATTAATTCATTTGTCTATGTCAATGTTGGCCTCCAATTATTTAACGTTCTGTATTAATCAATTTGTTTATGTCAATGTTGGCCTCCAATTGTTTAACTTTCTGTATTAATCCATTTGTCTATGTCAATGTTGGCCTCCAGTTATTTAACTTTCTGTATTAATCCATTTGTCTATGTCAATGTTGACCTCCAATTGTTTAACTTTCTGTATCTTTCTAGTGCAGTTTCACATACTGCATGTACAAATCCAACGTTAGGTATTTGATGCAATACTTTTTGATTAGCAATCCCAGCTCTTTTCATCTTCTTGGCAGCATCTCCCTCTCCGGGGAGCAACATATCTTCATTGATACAAAGTTGAAATACCTTTGCACTGAAACTTCCTGCAACAAATGTCTTTATCCCTTCATCCTTACAGAAGGATTAGTCTTTTAAAGATTACCTCTCAATTTCCATTTTGGGCCTAACTCAAATGGGAAAGTTTTCATTGACTTTAAACACTGTTTCTTTTCATGCAAATCCATGAACATCCTATATCCAGGGGTTACGCTCACTTTCGCTCTCTACACACCTGGAATATGTCATAGCAAAATTGAAGGCACAAAGACGGCTGTTTGATTGGTCTCTGACCAATCGCTAGGCTGATACCTGTCCTTTGAAGATTACAAAGGAGAGACGCCCGACTTCAAAGCCTGTTAGTTTTTACGGTTAGGTGACCGCGAGATTCTTTTGATGTATTTCAAATCATCGAACTAGTCTTCTTGTCTCATGATCAAGGCCACGCACACTGACGATGAGCCGTGAATGTCCAATGATAAAATTTGATTATAATTGAATAATCTCTGTGGCACCTACAATTTTATTGTGATAAAATACTAAATTTAACTCATTTAAGCATTGGCTTCATGGGTACCTCATTCCCTACAAAGTCTGAAGTCATAGACAGTCACTAAAATATGCTGGCCATGGGAAACCTGATTTATTATGCTGTATTTTAGAACTTATGGTTAAGGTCAAAGGTCAAATAAACATCATAGTAGTGTGTTATTTTGAAATTGTGACACACTGCCTTTGCATGATGTATGGACCTATAGACAAAGTATGATGCCAATTCATGAAACAAGTGCTGAGATCTGGAAACAACAGTCTGGACCCTGGTACACCAGACTCAAGTATGACAAGAAGCCCAATGGGCGTGCATCGCTCACCTGGTATCAATATCACACTTGTAACCTAAAAGGTGATCTTAAATAAAGCTACAGGCAAAATATCAGTATTAATGACTATAAGTCATTCAAAACAACCTGTTAAAAGATTTAAAATCATTTGACCCATGTAACCTTGATTTTTGAACAAGGTCATTACGTTGAACTTTAATTTAAAACCTTTCATTTCAGCTTGCAACTTGCTAAATAGTGCTATCCTAGACCTTTTGTTTAATGACATTAGGTCATTTACATATCTGACCAAATGTGACCTTGAAAGTGGGTCAAGGTCATTCAAATGACTTTATAGCCCTTCATCCAAATATCAAAATTCTGGGCCTCATGGTTATTCAAAAAAAGTTGTTCAAAGATTTTAAACAAATTTGACCCCTGTGACCTTGAATAAAGTAAAAGTCATTCATTTGAACAAACTTGGTAGCCCTTCATCCAAGCATGGTAATATCCAGATATCATCATTCTGGGACTTTTGGTTATTCAGAAGAAGCCATTTAAAGCTTTCCAACATATTTAACCAACCCATGTTACCTTGAATAAAGGTCGAAGTAATTAATTTCACAAACTTGGTAGCCCTTCATCCAAGCATGCTAATGGCAAAATATCATCATTCTGGGCGTCATGGTTTTTCAGAGGATGTCGTTAAAAGATTTTAAATATATTTGACCCTTGTGACCTTGAATATAATTGAACATCATTTATTTGAAAAAACTTTGTAGCCCTTCATCCAAGCAAACTACTGATCAAATATCATCCACCCTAGGCCTTTGGTTATTCAGAAAAAGCGTTTAAAAGATTTTAAACATATTTGACCCCTACGACCTTGAATACCGGTCAAGGTCATTCATTTTAACAAACTTGGTAGCCATTCATCCTAGCATGATACTGGCCAACTATCATCACACTGAGATTTTTGGTTATTCAAAAGCCATTCAAATATTTTAAACATATTTGACCCCTACGACCTTGAATACAGGTCAAGGTCATTCATTTAAACAAACTTGTATATCACCCTGGGCATTTTGGTTATTCAGAAGAAGTTGTTGAAAGATTTTAACATATTTAACCCTTTTGACCTTGAATATGAGTAAAGGTCATTCACTTGAACAAACTTGGTGGCCCTTCATCCACGTGTGCAACTGGCCAAATATCATCACCCTTGGCCTTTTGGTTATTCAGAAGAAGTTGTTTAAAGGTTTTTATAGACAATTGACCCCTGTGACCTTGAATATGAGTGAAGGTCATTCATATATCACATATTCCATATCATCTATTCGTTATCTTTTATTATTTTAACCCCCTTTTTTATTTTT